AAAATATTCATGCTTTAAAAAAAAAAAAAAAACAAGAAATAACTAAGGAAGCTAAGGATTAAGATAGATGTATCTACGTAAGCAGATACTACTACTAGAGGGTTACAACAATATGATAGAATTGAATTTTCCTTAATGCAATTACTGCGTGCTGGTGTACGCTAAACTCAGCTAAGCTTAGCTCAGTTTTCTTATCATCGTCGTCGTCGTCGTCGTAGTCGTCGTCGTCGTCGTAGTCGTTGTCTTGGTAAAGATGAACGAAGAAATTAGCTTGCGTAATCGTGTTCTTTCTATTTATCTCCATGATTTAGAAAGTGAGTGAGTGAGAAAGAGAGAGGATGAAAAACACGCGTACAACGTACGAGGATACTTGAGATCAACATTTTTTATCAATGAAATATGAAATGAAAGTAACGAGATATAAAAAGATAATAAATCATTCATAATAATAATAATAATAATGATCGTTATAATAACATTTAAGTATCTCAAGTAATCTAAAACAATTCTAATGACAATTAGTATAATTCACGATATAGAAGATTAAAAATAATAACAAAATAAAACATTGAAACTATTAATATTTATATTGTTCTAATTGTTCTATTGAAATATTTATCTATCGTTCTCATTGAGTTAGTCAGTCAATTGATTATAGTCACAAATGTTACTTCCACCATTTACCTTTGGATTTATTTTCAGTGCTATTGCTATTGCATTTCTATTTACATTTTAATAATTAATTTACATTATTTTCTATTATTTTAATCTTATTCTTCAAAATTATTTCATTGTAAGTAAAATGCAATGTGACGATACCATTATATTTATTAATTACTATCTTTCTTTCTTTCTTTTCTATTAAGGTTTAAAAGCAAACCAAGCAAAACCTTTTGTCAAATTATTAGAAATGAAACATAATCAATCTGTTGCAATTAATAATTATTATTTCTATTCTTATATATTGTTTCTTGTCTTTGAAATGTTATATAAATAAATATTTTCTTTTTGAAAATTTAAATCATTAATTAGATGATCGAATTAGATTATCAATTGAACACACACTATGCATTATTATAATATTATTTTTAAATCATACATAATTAATAATAATTATATTTGATCTAAACACAATTATAATAAATTTAGTTACGCGTTAAAGATTGTTTTTGTTCTGTTTGTTTTTTTCTTCTTTTTTTTTAATGTTAGAAACGTTTCAAATGAAACTATTATAACGTTAGCATATTTCAAAGTTAAACGTGTTAAATCTGAAATTAAAGGAGTAGTACGTAAATTTAGTGTTTATCGGTCGAATAGTTTGGGCGCGAAATTTTGCGGCTTTTAGAGAAACACACACACACACACACACACACACACACACACACACACACACACACACACACAC